GACAGAGCCTGTGAGTTGGATCGGCAATAAAATCGGGGTTTAAATAAGCGTAAGGCAACGATCGTTTGCCAGATACCAGCGGGGAGAGAGAGAGAGAGAGAGAGAGAGAGAAAGAGAGAACAGTGCTCGACTGGTACATATAGGCTAGCCCTGATGTTTGCCTCGACGTTGCCAAAAAATACAATGACCCAAATAAGACAAGTTGCACTCGTTCGTCGATACTACTCCCCGCATCGCGAGCTCTTTTCCTCTGAAACTGTTTCGTTCAAGTGCACGCTGCTCGCGTGCTTCACCAAACGACAGAGACAGAGCAGAGGAGACGAGAAAAAGAACGAGACTAGAGAATTGTTGCCATGTAAAGATATAGAAGACATGAATTTGTCGTTTTCTTACAAATGCCAGAGATAAAGAGGAAAATCTGATATTAAATAATCTATTATAATAGTAATAATAATCTGATGTTAAATAATCTATTATAACTATAATAATCTGACGTTAAATAATCTATTATAATTATAATAATCTGACGTTAAATAATCTATTATAATAATAATAATCTGACGTTAAATAATCTATTATAATTATAATAATCTGACGTTAAATAATCTATTATAATTATAATAATCTGACGTTAAATAATCTATTATAATTGTAATAATCTAATATTAAATAATCTATTTAATAAATAATTGATAATTTTATTATATAATTAAACTTATCATATTTAAATAATTGATTATTTTCATCTGACATTTAATAATCTATTATCTGATATTAAATAACGTATCAAATGTATATACAGTAATCGGTAAAGTTTTTTTTTTTTTTTTACGTGAGGAACGCGGATAATTGGATTTACAATTTAATACAGGAAACAGGAATAACTTTTGGATAATGGGAGAGAAAAGTTTTTTTCACTCTCTTTGACAAGAATTAAATAAAGGAAAGAACGCGGAATTTTAGATTAAAACTTTCAAACCGAGCGTTTAATTAAACTTTCAAACCGGGTATGTTTGAATGTACAGGGTGGTGGTACAAGCGAGTGGGAAGTAATTCCGTGTGAAAGAGCGAGCAAAAAGAAAGAAATAAAATTTTCTTTTCCGTCGAAGGGAAGATCGAAAATTTTTCAAGTATAATTGTTTTTCTTTCTTCATTTCTTTTTTTTTTTTTTTTAAGTTGCAAAACACGATAAAATAGTTTCAGTTTAATTGTATGTTTAATTTCACGATTCACAGTTTGTGGGATTAAGTTTAATTTTCGTTTTTTTACAAGATAACAAGCGAGAAGATATTTTAAACAAGAGTGGAAGCAAAACAATTAATATAAACAATCTCTTAATCTAAATTTTACTAAAATTAAATTTTACTAGATTCAGTTTAACTAAATTTTCATTTGGAATGAAAGGAAAGTAGGAACGTCGTACCATTGATTTGCAAGTTAAGAAGATCGATTAGAAATTGTACGTTTTTTGTAAAGCTAAAATTGTCGGTTTAATTCCGATGTTTTTAAAATCGACGAAGAGCGATACTGTTGAAAGCGACGGCCATTTCAATTTTATGTTCGTATCCGTTATTCGTAGGTCAGGGCATTGGCGAGCAACGAGACGCAAGCTCACGCTGGGCAAACGAAATAATTGATAGTGCTCTTATAATTGAAAGCCCTGGGCGGCTCTTCTATCGCTTCTCTCGGCGGTTAAAGAGGAAGTCTCTTGTACCAGTTGAAAGGCCGACTTGACTTCCGATTTTTCTTTAAACCGTTTCGAAAGCTTTGCATCATCTCGTGCACGCACGCCGACGTTCAACGCCTGCCTTTGTGGATTTTATCAATCTTATCGAAACGTTTTAACCTCTCTCTCTCTCTCTCTCTCTCCACGTCGAGAATTATTTGTCCCAAAATTGCAATAGTTCCACAGTTTTAAGTATATTTAAGTATAACCCAGGCAAGACAAGTAATAAATTTATTACTGTTCTTAATAATTTCTATCTACAGTGATATCGTACCGACGAATCAAAAAGAAAGCGACGAATTGTTTTATACGGTTTTGGTCACTCGTTATGGTCCGCAATCGGTTACCAGCGCAAGTGGTTAACCTCTTTTTTTTTCTCAAAATTGCAATATTTTCTCAGTTTTAAGAATATTTAAATACATTTAAATTAATATATATTTAATTTTATTTATATATAACATATATAACATTTATATATTATATATGTAAATAACATATAATTTAAGTTAATATATATTTAAATAAATTTAAGTTTTAAGTATATTTTAAGTATATGTAAATATAATCTCAGGCAAAATTAAATAATAAATTTGTTGCTTATTAATCATTTCTATCCAATGATGTCGTACTGACGAGTTCAAAAAAAAAGCGACGAATTATTTAATACGGTTCGGTCACTCGTTATGGTCCGCAATTAGTTACCAGCGCAAGTCGGTTAACCACGTCGAGAATTTTCTGTAAAAAATTTACAACATTTCCTCAGTTTTAAATATATTTAAGTATAACACAGGCAAAACAAATAATTAATTTATTATCTCTTAATAATTTCTATCTACAGTGATATCGTACCGACGAGTTTTTTTTAAAAAAAAAAGCGACGAATTGTTTGATACGGTTTTGGTCACTCGTTATGGTCCGCAATCAGTTGCCAGCGCAAATGGTTAATGTCTACGTTAATGTCATTTGAGACTAACTAACGATTGACAATTGACGATCAAACACTGTTGATCGATTAGATCAGAATCGCCGATTTCTTCGACGATTCATTTTCTTTAACGAACGATTCGATGAATCAATTAAATTAATTTCCTTTAATTAATTTTATTCATCGATTCAAACAATCACCGATTTTCGACTAGGTTCATTCATCGCAAAAACATCGGACCGAACTAAAAATTTTGTTCGATCGACGACCCAAACTCTGCCCGACTCTATCACTGAAACAACTTGATTGTGCTCGTAAATAAGCAAGTTCTCCGTTCACGGCGAGGACGCTGTGGCAACCACCACCATGCTTGGGGTTATCGGTATTTCGTGAAATTTGGCGCCTAGGTGCTTAGGACACATTCCAGAACGGTGATTTAATAGAATGGCGCCATTACTCGGTTCATTGAATCCAATATTTACCAAAGAATTTGTCCTGGCTTGGTGGACGAAATTTGAGGCAAATTGGTGACCCGATGTCGTGGCTCTCCCCTCGTTAGTTAACTTCCATGACACGCGATGATTCATCTTCTAACCGTGTTCCTTCAATTGCCTTCACAGACTGCCTCCACATTCTGCTAACGTTAAACGCAATGCAGCGGAACTCGGGGTCTAAACTGTCGTCGTTCGTACTTACATAATAAGTTTATTCGAATAACACGGTTCCACGGTTCTCATTTCTCTCTGGTGGCATATTATTCTTGACATTACCGCTGAGAAAATATTTTGTCACCGTTGCTTTGGCACAAATCCTTGCCTCTGCGTAATTTTAGAATATTTTCTCCCTCTCTCTCTCTCTCTCTCTCTCTCTCTCTCTCTTTCTTTCTCTCTCTTCTTCTTGTATTACAAATTGGGTCAACCTTCTTTATCCCAAAATTGCAATATTTTCTCAGTTTTAAGTATATTTAAATAATAATTATTAAGTATATTTAAATAATAATTAAATAATAAGATAATAAATTTATCATTTCTTAGCAATTTCTATTCAGTGACATCGTATCGACGAGGTCAAAAAGAAAGCGGCGGATTATTTGTGGTGTACGGGTTTGGTCACTCGTTATGGTCCGCAATCAGTTGCCAGCGCAGAGCGGTTAAATAAACGAGTCGTTCATTTGCCAGATCGATTAGAAAAGAGTAAATAAATCGGCAAAACAATTCTACATTTTTCTTTTTTAAAGTTCATATTGATATAAATGTTGTAGACTGTATGTTAGTACAGACGTGTGTATAGCTTTCATTCAACGATATGCAAAACGCATGAATCCAGTGTTGAAATATTGTTGGCTCTCGAAGTAAATTATTTATTATTCCACAGAGGTGGAGTCAAAGAAGTTTTTCCGGTGTTAATTATCAAGGAAATGTCTTTCAAATGTACAAAATTTAATGTTTCAATTTAAATTAGAATTTGAAGAATTCGAGAATAGTTATCTATGCAATGTTTTATTTTTGCAGACGTGGTTGGAAAAGTGATACCTAAATTAAAATCGACCATTTTCGTTTGACTAAATGTCACCATAAATTTTTCTCTGTTTCGTATATTTTGTATAGAGAGTTTCGCTGCGTGCATTCTGCGGATTTTTGGAATCTTAAATTTCGCAGAGAAATGCATAAAAAAAAATCTGTCTAATAACAGGACTGTTTATATCTATTGATTGATGTATCTAGAATATTAGAAATATCCCAATGAGATTTTATTTTAACACTAGAACTACCGACAGTTGAATTTGACATAGAATTTCCATCAGAGATATTAAAGTGAAGAAAATAGAGAAATTTTATAATACAACAGCGTACACGAGCTCTTATTTATACATTTTACGAGAAGTTATTATTAAATCTTTAAAAATATACTGTTTTATATCTGTAAAAAATCGAACAAAAGTTATAAACTGATCGTTTTAGTAGTTCTGGTGTTAACATTCTCTATGTGTACAGGGTGTTCCATTATTGAAGTGTTTCTGAGAAAACAATGATTTGAATGAAGAAATTTTTTTCTTTATTTCTGACACATATTTTTTTTAACGTAAAGATTTATTATTTATTAAACAATATTAATATTAATATTAATATTAATTTTATTAAATATTTTATATTTATTGGCACCTTCAACATTGGGACATTCAGCGAAATTTCTGAAATCTTAAAGAGAGATTTCTCTAAAGAAATGTCTGTTTGTCAACTTTCTCTTTGATTACGATAATGTATTATCTGTTAATATTCAGTGCGTTGAAAGATGATAGTACGATTGTGAGAATTGATAGAAAATCGTAAAAATTTTTATTGAACGCAGGGATTAGGATGTAATCGAACGGACGATTTCAGTACACCAGTCAGTTCTGGCAGCAACATGAGCAGTATAGCACGGTTTCCAAAGTTGGACGAGTGTGCCCACTTTCATTACGAACATGTTGAACTCAGTTCCTTGGAGGTCAGTTACATTCAGATTAAACTTTAAACTAAACTCAACTTCGTCCGATGATCTTGATTGAAATTCTCTTTTCTAAGCACGTACAGTGTCGATTCGGCTGACTCGAATTGAAAATTATATATTTCAGAACCTTTTTATTTGATATCGTCACTTATCAATTATACCTGTTTTCAAATTTCTCAATTTGGTATTTATTTTGTTACGCTAGATTATCTTTTATGTCAATTAGTACATTCTACTGGGGCAACTGTCCGTATTAGTATGCCTCGATGAAATAAATTATGCAAAAGAACTTGTAAAAAAAAAAAAAAAAATGAACAGAAGGGTTTGTATCTGTCATCGAATTTAATTGAAAAAGATGTTTCTTCTTTCTATTTCTCTATGATTTATCATCGTTTATATACATCGTGTGTTATTATCATTTATATGTGTTCTTTCTTATAATTTATTTCAATAAAGCAGAGCGCAGAGGTAGGGGCAGTCACTCTGATTTGTATTAAAGAATAATTTACAGTGTGTCAAAAACGTTCAATTTTCTCATCAATGATCAATCAAAAAAAAAAAGAGAAAAAAAAATGGTCTTCCTTCGTTGTCAGCTCAAAAAAAAAAAAAAAAAAAAAAAAAAAAAA